AAGAGAATTCTTCAGCAAGACTCCACAGAGTTGCTGAGCTATAGAGAAACCTTTATGTCTGTAACTGAGCTCAGCTACTTATTGGTCAATGGATCTAAACTATTGTGCCAGTCTTGGGGTATCTTCTAACTGTCTAAAATGGCTCTGGTTAAAGAAAGTGTGGCTGAGCGATGCAGGCTTTCTTTAATTGTTGGAATGCAGTCTGAGGTTTACTCAAGTTTAAACTAGGAGACCCACTCCTGATAAAACTGGATGAGAAAAAATACTGGACACCAGCTGTTGACATTGGATGTCGCCTACAGGCACTCTGAGAGACTACATGGTTGAAACAGATTATGGTCAATGGTACAGAAGAAACAGGCACGTACAGCTGGTTCCAAATGCAGCTGAATTGTCAAGTTACCCCAGCAGCAATGGTATTTGCTCCATAACCTTAGTCAAGGGAAATAATCTGTCTGAGAAGAGTTCTGAATCCATTGAACAGTATTCCGCATCCCCTAGATCAGAATATGATCAGCTCTGTACAAGTGGTAAAACTGGGGACACATTTGGATCTATAATTTGTTTTTAAACATTAACTCTTCTTAAAGAAGGTTTATACAGGAAAAGAGGGGAAAAGTGGATGTTGGGCACAACTAGGCCTTTCCCTCCTCTGCAAAAGTGCTCCTTTGTGGTTCAAGATATCCAATTCTGGAGCCTTTGGTAAATATTTAAACAATAGCTTTTATTATGAAAGTAAAATAATAAACACTGTAACTCTGTTGGTCAGGCAGAGACTCAGCGGGACAACCTGGCTAGCAGATAACTCCTGGCCAGATAACTTTGGATAACTGGCATCCATATGCAGTATATGTATTAACTATTGATTAACAATTGACCAATCAATACAAAGCATGTCAGTTAGGTAAACAGCTTAACAAATCAGGAACTGTTGCTGGGTAAACTAGTAACTGCATAGAGTAAGACTAGTACCCTTAACATGAATCATAACCATTACAAGACTTCGAGACGCGTGGTCCTCAGACCAGGAGTCCCTTCTGCACATGTGCAGATCCATAAAGGTCACATAGCCCGTAGGCTTTATTGACAGCCTGTAGGCTGCACTCATTCTTCTGGCCCTATACTGTTAGCACAGGCTACCGTGAATATGTTTACTGTTTCTTTAAAATTATAGTAGGAAGTCAGGCAATAGTGGAGCTGTGAAAAGTTCTACAGTGAAGCATGAAGAGACAGAGATTTTAAGGTTAATACTGTATTCCTTTTTCTAATAAGGTCTCTTGTTCAGTGTTAGAAGAAAATGATTATGATTCTTTACCATTGTTAAATGCAATCATTTTGTTGTGTCATTTCTTCCCCATTCCCTCCCAGCTCCCTAGATAGGCTGCAAAGGATTTGATTTTTATCAGTAAATGTTAGTAAACATTGATTTCACTGTACATATACAAATAAATGAAAAAATATCTCCATCAATTATTGCCAACATTTACAGAGAGGCAAAGTGAGAAAAATGTTACTTGAGAATGTATTAGAGTCCTATCTTAATGTGTATAAAATGTGTTGTAATGAATGCTTCATATTTACAGTTCTGCTAAAACTGCCAGCTCCAGCATTAACTGCACTGCAGCTAATTATGCAGCATTCATTATAGTGTGCTGGGGTCAAAGTTGAGGAAGAGCAAAAATCCAGTTACATTTGTGGTGGGTAGGCACCTGCACTTATACAGTAACAGAGGCCAAGTTTGTTGTTTTGTTTCAATGATGGGTTGAATTTTATTTCAGTGATGGGAAATCCCTAGAGGAATATTGCAGAGAATACCCTAACCTCAAACGTAAAATGGTGAAAAAGTCTGGAAATGGAAACAAGGACATTTTGTGCTGCAAAGTTTGTAAACAGACAGGCAAACTGTATTGCTGAACATTTGAGTAATAAGTCTCATCTGAAATTAAAAGAAAGTGAAGCAAAGATAACCTAAAGTTCAGTGGAAGCCTGTTTGGAAAGAATGAAACAACGGAAGCAAGAAGCTGCAGATTTTCTACACGATCTAGTACATGGGTTGTGCTTTGAGGTGATTCCAGGGAATGCTGTCCATGGTTCGACTTTTTTTAATTAGTTCTACTTCACAAATATGCACCAGCAGTGTGCACTTGTCCAGAATATTGTCAGCTGGAAGAAAAATACCTTCAAGAAGTTTTCATTCACCATTAAGCTTCAATTAAGGATCTTTTGCGTGGTGACAAATGCTCTTTAGTAATTGATTAAACTCTAGAGCTTGCTGGACAGTCAACAATTAACATCCTTGCAGTGTTTTACAGTGACAAAAATAAATCAATAAATACTATTCTATTAAAATCTTCTACAGTTCTTCACTGCAATGTGGGGGTCATTTCAATTTGTGTTCAAGATATATTGTGAGATGTAAACGTGGGGAAACTGTGTGAATCAACAGTGACTTCAGGATGTAAATGCAATGCTTAGTAAAGAATTTGAAAGAAATATATCCACACTTGTTTCACATTTCATGTATTGCTCACCTTTTGTATGTAGCCATTGATCATGCAATCAAAACTGAGTTCCACAACATCAGTGAATTTGTGATACATTTTCCAATTAGATTTGAACGTGTTAACAGGCAAAGGCAAGCAACAACATGAACCCTTCAGGTTTGCATGTGCCCCCTTATGTGATGCCATCATGCTGGTTTTCCTTGCTCAGAGGCAGCAAAATTCATTCATGCACATTGGGACAGTGAAAGACTTTGTCATTAAAGAGGAAGATGCAGTCATTTCAAAGAGGGCAATGAAATTACACCAGATGGTCAAAAATGATGGAAACCACCAAGTAATCTACTGCAGGTTATCTCTGGGGAATATCCCTGGGAATCATTTGCAAATGGAAACAAATTCATCCTGATACATCACACAGGTACACTGCTTAAATACAATTTACAAGTTGCTGCTGATGTAGATAATACCTTAAAGGAAGTGGAATGCAAGTTAATGGGCTTCAAAAGGCAATTCCTTTAAACTGCAATGTATGCTGTGATCAGAATTTCTCATCAAAGCAAACTGAAGGCCACTTTATCTCACTATGTACATGATGGCCTCTGCATTGGGTGCTTTTTTTTGCCAGCAATGAAGTGTTTGATTCATTTGTCGAGGCTCAGATGTCACATAATTTTAACAACTACGAAAATATTTTCCCTTGTAAGGAAGAAGAGTTCAAGTACGATTTTGACTTGAAATGCCCTGTGGTGACAGCATAACAGCACTTGAATTCTGGAGAAGTGAAACCCAGTCATAGTCTGTTATGTTCAGTATGACATTATGTGCACTTGCAGTACCAGTAGTTTCAGTGTCTGTGGAAAGCTCATTCAATCTGTTTAGAAAAGTTCAAGACAAATGTTGCATGCGCTTCTCTGAAGACTAACTTTGGCAGCTTAATCTTTTGAACTACAAAAAGAACATAAGATCAGATGTGGAGAGCTTTTGAAATCTGGACTCACCTGCTGATTTTACCAATTAAATATGTATTCCCAAACCTGTAGCAAAAGGCCTAAGGGTTTTTTTTTTTTTAAATTTTATTGCTTGAACCTCCAAGATGTGGGAACTGAAGACTTAAGGAGCAAAATCCAGTTATTTTGATTTTGAATTAGGCTGGTTACAAATGGACTAGGCAATGAATGGTAAAAAGAGTTATGATTTGTTGATTTAGGGTGTGTCAACGCTTGCGAGTGTACACAGCCACACGTGCATTCTTGTGCCATAACCCCACTACTGTCCATATCTGAAGCCCTGAAGCACGTTTCTAAAGGACAGTTTAGTGTGCAAATGCTGGCATGTTTTGGGGTGTGGATATGTACATGTCTCCACTGCGGCATGGCGCTGTACCTGTTCTACAGTGCTGTGTGGCTGGGGTGACGGGTTGTTTACCAAGTCTTGGGTATCAACAATTCTCCAGGCCATTCCCACAATGCATCGATCCCTTTAATGCCTGACTATTACCCAAAGGTATAAAGGTCCCTGAACCTGCTGCTTCACTTGCCAATGGTAATAGCAACCTGCGCTGAGTACTTCAGAACAGTTTTCTGCTGAAATCTATTGAAATCGTTGATGATGGTCCGAGAGCAGCCACCTGGTTTTCTGGAGCACACACAGGTGCTGATCAATGTGTGGTCAGAGTACACTATCCTCCCCAACAGGGGATTGGGGTGCAGGAGGGGGTGAGGGCTCCGGCTGGGGGTGTGGGCTCACGGCTGGGGCCAGGGATGAGGGCTTTGGGGTGCAGGAGGGGCTGGGGCAGGGATTGGGGAGTGGGGAGGGAGTAAGGGCTCCATCTGGGGGTGCAGACTCTGGGGTGGGGCTCGGGATCAATGGTTTGGGGTGCAGGAGGGGGCTCCGGGCTGGGGACTGAGGGGTTCAGAGGGTGGGAGGTGGATCAGGTCTGGGGTAGGGCCATGGGAGGTGGTCAGGGGTGCAGGTTCCAGGCAGCGCTTAGGGGAATCAGCTCCCGGAAATATGGGACGTCCCCTCTCTGGCTCCTAGGCGGAGGCAGGGCCAAGTGGTTCTCCATGCTACCCCCTCTGCAGGCACCGCCCCCACTGCTCCCATTGGCTGCATTTCCCAGCCAATGGGAGCTGCAGGGGCGGGGCTTGGGATGGGGGGGCAGAGTGTGGAGACCCCAGGCTGCCCCTACGCATGGGGGGGGGGGGGGGGGACCACACTCTGCTGCTTCCAGGAACCGCTCGCCCCGCTGACTGGGCTTTTAGCAGCCCGGTCGGCAGCGGTGACTGGAGCCACCAGGCTCCCTTTTCCACGGGGCGTTCTGGTCGCAAGCCGGACACTTGACAACCCTCGCGCGAGCGCCCACCGCACTCTGGCGAGCCGCCGCCCAAGGGCGGATAAAATGGGGGATGCGCGCGCGGTGACCCGGCAGCGGTTCGTTTCCGTTGAGAGCGAACTACAACTCCCAGCCTGCCCCGCGCCCGCGCATGCTCCTTTCAGCCATCGGCTGGCGAGGCTGGGCCGCTGCGGGGCCGGGGCTCGGCCCGTGCCGCGGGGGAGAAGGAGCCGGTTCGGCGGTAACCGCTGCGGTATACGGGGCAGTCGGGCGCGGAGTCCGGGGCGCGCCGAGCCCGAGCCGAGCCAGCGCTGCGCCGGCGCGGAACCGACCCGCCTTGCGGCCAGCCCAGCCCGCGGCGGCCCGCTCACCCCTCCCGGGGCCAGAGCCGGGCCTGGGGGCGGCCGCGGGACCGGCGCAACTGCGGGGCGGGGCTGGATATTAACCATCCCCCGGCCAGTGGCTGTGGCAGAGCCGGGCTTCCCCGCTGGCAGCCGGTGCCTGGCACCTGCCCGTCCCTGCCCAGAGGGGGCTGCACGCCGCGGGGTGCTCGTGCGGCCCTAGGGGTGAAAGATAGAAAAGCCCGTTTTATGACCGAGATTTGTCCTGGTGTTTTCTGAAGGGCAAACGGCCCTGCCCCTCAGGGCCACATGGGTGATTATACAGAGGTGCGTTTTCATTCCTCGCAGCAAGTCCATTTCCTGAACGCCGGGAGTTTTTACAGGCTGTAAAGCAGCGGAGTCTGCTAGCTTATTTTACTTTAGCTGAAATAGCTCTTACTTTGTTTGGCTATTTGACGAGGTTGAAGTAAACTATTAGACGGGATAAATCTGAGCTGTAGAGTATCAGTTAGACTTTCAGATGCAGGTGGGATTTGGTGGTGGTGATCTTGCACTTCTTGTCATCTTTAAAGAGACTAAAAGGAAATTGTCAGATCAGATTTAGCTCAGAGTTCCGGTTTTATAAACAAACTTACAAAAAAGATCAAAATAAATTATCCCTGGATCTAAATGAGAATTTAATGAGAGATTTTTGAATGAGAGAGAATTATTGAATGAATAAATATTCCCCTTTTGTATTTGAACCAAAAACATTGCAGTGTTCTGCAGGTGCTCTGTTAAAATGGACAACTAGCTTTCACCTGCCTTTTTTTCCCCTTTCTGTTTCCATTTGCCAAAGAGGTTGCATATTTTTCTTTTTAGTGCAGACTTCACTATTGTGATTCATGTTTTGTCCTCACTGAGAGAGAAAGGATGGTCCAGTATTCAATCCACTTGGCACTAGCCTGGGAGTTAGGACCCTTGAGTTCAAGTCCTTGTTCTGCCACAGACTTCTTGCGTGACCTTGGGAAAATAATTTAGTCTTTTTTGTATGGAAATTGTACTTCCCTATATCACAGGGGTTTTGTAAATACATTCAAAAGATTGTGAGGTGCTAGATGCAATAGTAGTGGCTCCATATAAGTACCTAACCAATTAGTGCACTGTGCTTTATTTGCAAAAAGAAAAGGAGTACTTGTGGCACCTTAGAGACTAACCAATTTATTTGAGCATGAGCTTTCGTGAGCCACAGCTCACTTCATCAGATGTGTACCGTGGAAACTGCAGCAGACTTTATATACACACAGAGAATATGAAACAATACCTCCTCCCACCCCACTGTCCTGCTGGTAATAGCTTATCTAAAGTGATCAGCAGGTGGGCCATTTCCAGCACAAATCCAGGTTTTCTCACCCTCCACCCCCCCCACACAAATTCACTCTCCTGCTGGTGCTAGCCCATCCAAAGTGACAACTCTTTACATAATCAAGTCGGGCTATTTCCTGCATAGATCCAGGTTTTCTCACTTCCCCCCCACCCCCAAACACACACAAACTCACTCTCCTGCTGGTAATAGCTCATCTAAACTGACCACTCTCCAAGTTTAAATCCAAGTTAAACCAGAATATCTGGGGGGGGGGGTAGGAAAAAACAAGAGGAAACAGGCTACCTTGCATAATGATTTAGCCACTCCCAGTCTCTATTTAAGCCTAAATTAATAGTATCCAATTTGCAAATGAATTCCAATTCAGCAGTTTCTCGCTGGAGTCTGGATTTGAAGTTTTTTTGTTTTAAGATAGCGACCTTCATGTCTGTGATTGCGTGACCAGAGAGATTGAAGTGTTCTCCGACTGGTTTATGAATGTTATAATTCTTGACATCTGATTTGTGTCCATTTATTCTTTTACGTAGAGACTGTCCAGTTTGACCAATGTACATGGCAGAGGGGCATTGCTGGCACATGATGGCATATATCGCATTGGTGGATGTGCAGGTGAACGAGCCTCTGATAGTGTGGCTGATGTTATTAGGCCCTGTGATGGTGTCCCCTGAATAGATATGTGGGCACAATTGGCAACGGGCTTTGTTGCAAGGATAAGTTCCTGGGTTAGTGGTTCTGTTGTGTGGTATGTGGTTGTTGGTGAGTATTTGCTTCAGGTTGCGGGGCTGTCTGTAGGCAAGGACTGGCCTGTCTCCCAAGACTTGTGAGAGTGTTGGGTCATCCTTTAGGATAGGTTGTAGATCCTTAATAATGCGTTGGAGGGGTTTTAGTTGGGGGCTGAAGGTGACCGCTAGTGGCGTTCTGTTATTTTCTTTGTTAGGCCTGTCCTGTAGTAGGTAACTTCTGGGAACTCTTCTGGCTCTATCAATCTGTTTCTTTACTTCTGCAGGTGGGTATTGTAGTTGTAAGAAAGCTTGACAGAGATCTTGTAGGTGTTTGTCTCTGTCTGAGGGGTTGGAGCAAATGCGGTTGTATCGCAGAGCTTGGCTGTAGACGATGGATCGTGTGGTGTGGTCAGGGTGAAAGCTGGAGGCATGCAGGTAGGAATAGCGGTCAGTAGGTTTCCGGTATAGGGTGGTGTTTATGTGGCCATTGTTTATTAGCACTGTAGTGTCCAGGAAGTGGATCTCTTGTGTGGACTGGACCAGGCTGAGGTTGGTGGTGGGATGGAAATTGTTGAAATCATGGTGGAATTCCTCAAGGGCTTCTTTTCCATGGGTCCAGATGATGAAGATGTCATCAATATAGCGCAAGTAGAGTAGGGGCTTTAGGGGACGAGAGCTGAGGAAGCGTTGTTCTAAATCAGCCATAAAAATGTTGGCATACTGTGGGGCCATGCGGGTACCCATAGCAGTGCCGCTGATCTGAAGGTATACATTGTCCCCAAATGTGAAAACCTGGATTTGTGCTGGAAATGGCCCACCTGCTGATCACTTTAGATAAGCTATTACCAGCAGGACAGTGGGGTGGGAGGAGGTATTGTTTCATATTCTCTGTGTGTATATAAAGTCTGCTGCAGTTTCCATGGTACACATCTGATGAAGTGAGCTGTGGCTCACGAAAGCTCATGCTCAAATAAATTGGTTAGTCTCTAAGGTGCCACAAGTACTCCTTTTCTTTTTGCGAATACAGACTAACACGGCTGTTCCTCTGAAACCTGTGCTTTATTTGGGGCTGTATCTTAAGTCCACCTGGAAATTGCAGATACTTGTATTTCACAGTGAGCTGCTACCAGTGCTTTGTGATCTGCACTGCCTGCTTTTGGAATTGACCTACACAGCTCTAAATGGCCTGCACTTTTTCTGCCTTGAGAGATCACCTCTCACCTTGTGCAATACTGCTGTAGTTGAGAACTGGAAGTTCTGGAGGTGGAGCTCCCTTGCCATACACAAAAGACGGGGCTACCAACATGCATTTCGTGTTGCAGTCATGCTTTTGATAGCCATGTCATGCATTCATACATCTTACTTGAAATGTCATTTGTCCAGGTGAGCTGTGGGAAGGCTACAGGCATTTACCTGCAGCTCTGTATTTTGGTCACTCACTAGAGGTGCCTGTGGACAAGGCAGTTAGTTGCCTTCTTTCTTGCTGTACCTTCTATTTGAGCAAGGCCAAGAATGAGCAGCTAGAGGAGGAGGTGCAGCAACAGCACAAGGTGAGAGCGCAATACTGGTCCCTGGCTCCCCACCTCTACACCAGGCTCCCACCCAGCCACAGTATCCCTTGCCTCCTCATGAGTGTCAAGACTCTCGGCAGTCCCCAAACCCCCAGTATCCTTTCATTTTCCAGCAGTCCCAACACCCATCCACCTAACTTCCTACTTAAATTCCCCCACTGGTACCCAGCTATCCACTAGCCACCCCAAGTGAGCACTCCTCATCAGCCAGAACTGCCAGGTTTTGTTCAGCTCCATGCCTCACTTCCAGCGCTGCTCAGGGCAGTACTGAACATAAATTCATGATTCTGGTTTATGCAAATAATTTGCATATAATGTACAAATTAGCTTGTTAAATAATTTGCATAAAATGTCAAAGTAGGAGAATTAAACTTGGCAGCTGTGCAAAGAGAAGGAGCTACTGGCAGGGCATATTTCTTCAATTTTGAAATTCATTTGCCCCAGATTACTCCCCAGTCCAAAATAGCTGAAATGTATGGATCTTCATGGGATGCTGCAAGATGTATCTTTTTACAAAGGCTTTTGGGGAAAGGAGACATTATTTGAAGGACCATATGTAGGGAAGAGTGGTGCATTTTTCCTCATTTCCCCTTTTCTATAATGCATAATAACTTATAGGTTTTTTCCTCTTTCATGTTTCATCGTTTTAAATAGCTGCCAGAGGCACCTAAAGCATATGATAGGTGCTTTCTTTGTGTTTCTTTGAAATTGAATACAATAAATATTTTATTTCATATAAGTGTTTTATGGCCCTCATCACCATAATATCTGAGCCTCTCAAACTTTAAAATTAAAGTTTAAACCTTTTTTACCTATTGTAGTTACATGTAATGCCTAAAATTAATATACTGAAAGAAGCCAGGTTCGTTTTTTTCCTCAGGTGACTTTGTTCATTTTAAAGCACTCTTTGTATAGTTATTTTTACTGTTTCACCTGCATGGATTCTGCAAATGGCTCCACACATGGGTGAGAGAAATTTTCTGGAAATAGGAAACTGTTATTGTTTAAAAAAAAATTGAGAGAGTAGGCTGTTATGGTAGCTGACAACAATATATTTCTCTCTTTTTTTTTTTTATTTCAAATTGTACCTCACTACTCCCCTGTAAGTTATGGAAGCATTATTATCTTCGTTTTACAGCTGTCTCAGTTTCTCCAGAATGATTAATGATTTGTCCGTGTCACCCAGGAAGTCTTTGACTGAAACAAGAATAGAAGAAACTAAATCTCTTGCCTGCTAGTACATTGCCTTAATAGCAAGACCATCCTTCATTCCTTTTGCATCAGAGCACAGAACAGTGTGATAACTGCAAATTATTTATGGCATGATATCCTGAATGTACAAACTGGAAATATTTCTTTCTTTCTTTTTTATTTTTATTTCTAGGTTAAAGTGAAAATACCTTTTGGAAATAAATACCTAGACGCTATCTTTTCTGTCCCAGACAAGATTTTAACACACGGAGTGATTCTTACTCATGGAGCTGGAGGAGATATGGATTTCTCTCATTTAGTTTCTTTGGTAGCCTATCTTGCATCCCGTGGACTTCTGTGCTTGAGATTTACCTGTAAAGGCCTTAACATTGCTTATAGGACTAAAGCATATAAAACAGTTGTGGTAAGAAAAGACCAGATTGCATTTTAAATTCTGGAAATTTTAGAGTCACAGCAAGACTCCAGGCTATTTGTTAGTTAATTTTTATTAAAATCCACCTAAGCTATCATATGCTTTTTGCATACTACATTTCCTGTCACTACTAAGTATTAAAATGCTTTTGTCATAGAGTTTAAGGTCAGGAGGGACCACCAGATCATCTAGTCTGACCTGTATCACAGATCTTCCAGCCACCTTGGCACCAAGCCCAACAGCCAGAATTAGGTCAAAGTATTACAGTCTTCAGAAGACTAAATTAGGGTGTGCCACAGGCCAAGAACAGGAGGGACCAGGTTACCACCAATGCAGAGAATTGCTAGGATCATCTGGGTATATCTGATCAAATCAAGTGACCCCATTCCATGCTGCAAAGGAAGATGAGTAACCCCTAGGTCCCCAGTCTGACCTGGGAGAAAATTCATTCCAATCACCAAAAATGGTGATCAGTTAAAACCTGAGTATGTGAGCTAGACCCACCAGCCAGGCACCCGAGAGAGAATACTTTGTACCACCTCAGAGCATCTAGACACTCCATGTCCAGTGTCTTATCTTCAGCTGTGGAGGAAAAAAAGACAGAGCACCTAGGGGTGGAGAGGGAGCAAGAGAATTTCCTTCTTGACTCCCACTGGTGGCTGACTAAAGCCCTGAAGCATGAGATTTTAGGAACATAAGACATTAGAAGCAGAAGTGACCCCTAGGGCTGCTGAGACTAGCCCCTTGTCACCACAAGCAAAAGTCATAAATCTCTCTCATAAACTTATTCAGCTCTGTCTTAAAAACTAACGAATTTTTTCCCCCACACAACTTCTGTTGGGAGGCTGTTCCCAAACCTTGCCTCCTTTGATGGTTAAAAATCTAATTTCCAGCCTATGCTTATGGACAGGTGTGTTTTTTTTTTTTTTTTTAACCATTTGCTCTTGTGCCAACATATTCTTTTAACTTAAATAGCTCTTTACCCTCCATGGTGTTTATCCCTCCAACCAATATATTTATAGAGAGCAATAATATTCCCTCTTAGCGTTGTTTTGCTAGCTAAACAAGCCAAGCTCTTTTAGTTTCCTCCTCTTCTTGTGTAAGTAGTTTTTGTTGTATTTGACATCCTTCTACTATAATCATTCAAGACTAGATTGAGTGTTTAGGAAGATCCTCAAAGAATCTCTCAGTTATTTTTCAGCCCTGGGGAATGTGGGAGTGAGTAAAGCCCTTGAAAGGGTACAGGTTATTCCTGCCTTCCTGTTGCCCAGGCCAGCTATGCTAGCCAGAGAGTAGGAGTAGGAACGCCCGGTCAAAAAGGGACCTGGGCAGCTCTGGTCAGCACTGCTCACTGGGCTGTTAAAAGTCTGGTTGGGCTAAGGCAGGCTCCCTACCTGCCTGGTTCTGCATGGCTCCCAGAAGCAGCCGGAATATCCGGCTTCTAGGTGGCCGGGGGGCTCTGTGCATTGCCCCCACCCTGAGCACTGGCTCCGCAGCTCCCATTGTCCGGAAACCGCACCTGCAGCCAGGGGAAGCATGCAGAGCCCCCTGGCCCCTCCGCCTAGGAGCAGGACATGCTGGCCGCTTCCGGGAGCCACCTGAGGTAAGCACCATCTGGCTGGAACCCACATCCTGAACCCCCTCCCGAACCTGATCCCACTCCTGCATCCAAACTCCCTCCTGTAGCCTTTATGCCCTAACACAACCCAATCCCCAGCCCTGAGCCCCCTCCCACATTCTGAACCTCTTGTCCCCAGCCCGGAGCCCCCTCTTGCACCTCAAGCCCCTCATCCCCCACCCCAGAGCCCGCACCCTCAGCTGGAGCCCTCCCACTCCCAACCCCCTATCCCAGCCTGGAGCCGACTCCTGCACCCTGACCCCCCTCATTTCTGGCCCCACTCCAGAGCCCTCACCTCCTGCACCCCAACCCTTACCCCAGCCCAGTAAAAGTGAGTGAGGGTGGGGGGAGAGCCAGCAATGGAGGGAGGGGGATGGAGTGAACAGTGGCGGTGCCTCGGAGAAGAAGTGGCAGGAGCAGGGCCTTGGGGAAGGGGCAGGGCAAGGGTATTCGGTTTTGTGTAATTAGAAAGTCGGCAACCCTAGGTAGGAGGTAGACCCAAAACTTTGTCCATACCTTGCAGCACCTGCTCTCCGGACACACTCTGTGTCAGACCCACACCCAAGATTCAGGTAGGCCTAGCAAGTGAGTCAGGGAGTCATACTCACCTCCTTGGCTGAATAAGACAAGAGCACAGTCCAGCCCTCTGAGGTTCCCTTCGCACTTTGATATCACAGTTGTTTGTATATGTTGTGTTTTAACTCTATTTTACTGAAATTAGATCTTGCTGATATTAATGCAGGCCTTCTGAGGAGCTTTGTGTTGAAGTTTCTTTAAAAATACACAATAATATTGTTTTTCTAACCAGATTGTTGGTTAGGAAATCGGAAATATGATATTGTATTGAAAGTTTATTTAGAGAACACTGGCAGGATACTTCTCAATTTTAAAAAATATTTTATTTATAATTCATAATCTTTTGGTAAATTTGAAATTGAAAAGTTCCCTCACTACATTGATCTTTTTACCTTACACAGTGGTGTATTATTGTAGGGTAGCTTGTGAGTATTGGGCTTATTAAATTGTTCTTGCTTTAAAAGTATTGCAGAAGTACTTGTTTGTGGGTATGAGAAAGTGAGGAGAAGAAACATTACATATAAATAAATAGACTGTCTTATTGGGGAAGTGTCCAATTTCAGATTCTTCAGCTACAACAATTTTTTATATCATGTATCTTAAAATGCTGTCTTTTAAACAAATGAAAAATGCTGTTTCATTTCCTTAGGAATATTTAAAGTCCTCTGGTGAATATAAACTTTCTGGTGTCTTTCTTGGAGGTAAGGGGGAGGGATGTATGTCTTTGTTTACAATCTTAGCCCTAATGGTGGTTTTAAGAGTACATTGTATAATTACATTCCTGAGGGGTGGGGAAAATTGTGAGTCCTCAGGACTGATGCAAAGGCCATGAAGCCCATAGCTCCCGAGGCCTCTGTGCAGTTATGTCTTAATCTGTTACTTGACCCATTATTTGACACAGATATAACTGAGGGAGAATATGGATGGATATCTAGGGAGATTGAAATCAGATGATCAGTTATGATTTCCATCTACTTCCAATTAAGTACTTCATTGATAGTGTCCTTTAACTACCTGACACTCAATACTCGTAAATAACATATGTAATATACAGAACAGTAGTACTTAGCAATATTACTTTTACAATCTATTCTCAGCAATAATCTTACTTTTTCCAGTACTTTTTGTCTTCAGCTGTCAAACTCCAGACTATATATAGAAATAAACTAGCTTTTTCTTTATTAAAACTGTTTCCATACAAAGGTCAGTAGTTTCGAAAATCTATAATAAAGTAATAAGATCCAGTTCTAAAAGTTACCCTTTGTCACTTTATACGGTTTAATGTTTGTGTACATTTTATTTAGCCACATGAAACCCATATTAGATCCTGGATTTGCATGGAAAGGGCTATGACAAGCTGTCTCTAGTGATCTGTAACTTGACAGTATATACAACTCAATTTTTATTTAATAAAATGTACACTGGATGGTAAACTGAATGTCATTTAAGTATTCACCCCATCTGTACATGTTCTGCTACTGCATGCAGTAGCAGAACAATAGAAAAGATGGATTTACTTACACACACACATTATCAAAGGGGAAGGATTTCATACATGGTGTAGGCCAGTGGAATAATACCTGCTTATACCCGTTCTAAATGTGCTTCCTTGTATAAAGGAAACCTAAAAACAAATTGGATATCAAATATACAAATGTCTTTAATATTGAATAACTAAGAAAAATACACTTAAATATATATATATGCACGAATAGTGAAAGTACTTGTGCCACTGGTATCTTAGCTCTTCTTGCTGTTATTCAGTACTCAGACCTTTTTCTCCAGGTCGTCTTGTAGGTAACTGCGCCTGCCTAGGGGTTAGTAGGATTTACATGATTCCAGGATCTCCAGTTCTCCTCCCATTAAGCTAAAGGCAAAACCAAACCCCCTCTGACTCCAACAGCCCTCACAAACAATTTAATCCAGCCATCTACAGAACCTCAATTAAAAAATGTGATCCATCAGCTATTGTGGCTTCTTTTGGGGGAGATACCTTGATGACCTCATGTTGTCACTCATAGAATTACCTCATACAGGTTTCATCTTCTCAGTTTGTATCTATATGTTTAAGCTGGAGTTTAAAGTAGTAGAGCAGATACTTGAAATAGATCCACTGTGTATATCTTGGCCTGATTTGAAGTGTGGGTCACAGGAACTTTGTTTTTACTACTAACCAACTAAGGCAGCTTGGAAAGAATCAATACTATGTCTTTGTGGAACAAGAATATAGTAACCATTGTTCTATAGTATTTCAAGTGTCCTGAAATCTAGTTTTTCTGCATTCTTCATACAGCCTACTTAAATATGAGTTATTGCCCACTTCTTGTCGTTCTATCCTGCTCCCTTGCCCACTCCCCCAAAAAAGTATTCTATTTTCTGATCCCCTGTTGCTTTCTTTATCATGGATGTAAAATCATTAAGTGCCCCCAGTTCAGTTATCTGACAGCGCCAAAATTCTGCATGGTAGTCTCCAATGACCTGGTGAACAAAAGTCCCTCAGTTGCCCCTTCATAGTCATTTTGTAGAGTATATGCCATATTAGTGTTACAACATACACCGAATTGGATAACTTTTAGGAATAGTGATTCTCAGTATGAATGTAAATGATGTGATAGTAAACATAATTTTTATTCTTTATGTTTAAATGGGAGATAGGTCGTTCGATGGGTTCACGAGCCGCTGTCTCTGTGGCACGTCAGATTAGCCAGGATGACAATGAGGATTTCATTCACGGTCTGATATGTTTATCTTATCCACTTCATCAACCAAAGCTTCAGTCCAAACTCCGGGATGAAGATTTATTTTTTATTAAGTGTCCTGTGCTGTTTGTCTCAGGATCAAAAGATGAGATGTGTGAAAAAGTGAGTTGAGTTATAAAGGGGAGGAAATAGGAAACTGTTCAAATGTGGTTAGCACTAGTATCCAAAGATGATGGTGATAATAGACAGTCTTCTCCAACCACTGATGTGCTGCAAGAAGCTCCAGGCAGGGAACTCTACCTCCAAATTTAAAAAGTTGGGATGCTTTTTTGATGGATATCACACCTTCCCTGGATATTGCCAGGTCATCCCTACTACAGATATCTCTGAACAGAATTTTGTTTGCCTTTTGAATGGACCAGATAGCACCAAATGGCAAGTATTACTTTTAAAAAAAGGCCTTGGGGAGAATTTACCTGGGTGTTCTAAAGAAATCTTAGCTCCCCTCCCATTTCAGATTACACAAAGTGTATACTGTGCTGTACTATCAATAAAGTCAGTGTATTTTTCAGGACAAATAAACATATTTCTGGCAAAGTTTGCTTGCTCAGTGGTGCTGTCTCTTCCTGTGGAGGAAGGGTTCTGCAAACCAAACTCCACAAAAGTATCCAAGTGCTAGTAACAGTCAGAAAGTAATGTTCAGCAAGGTCTGGAGTTTATCTTATCTACTTCATGGGGAAAAGGAGAGATATGTAAATCAGATTCGGGATGTATGTTACAGGAGCCTTACAAAATCCTGCTATGACTTAAGACTATGTGCACTTAACTCTCCAGGCCTAGGAAGTGTTTCTGGCATGTCATAACATTTTAACGAGTGGTTACAACAGAATAGCAAGCATATAGAGTGCTTGGAGTATACACTCTTACTGTGAAAATTCTTAGGTCTGTGAAGTAAGTCCATCTATCCTCTGAATAACCTTTGCATTGGGGAAAATCCTACAGCAGGGATCAGCAGCCTGCCAGGGTAAGCCCCCTGGCGGGCCGGGCCAATTTGTTTACTAGCCGTGTCCGCAGGTTCGGCCGATTGCGGCTCCCACTGGCCATGGTTCGCTGTTCCAGGCAAATGGGGGCCGCGGGAAGCGGTGCGGGACAAGGGATGTTCTGGCCTCTGCTTCCTGCAACCCCCATTGGCCTGGAATGGCGAACCATGGCCAGTAGGAGCCACGATCAGCCAAACCTGTGGACGCAGCAGGTAAACAAACCAGTCCAGCCCGCTAGGGGGCTTACCCTGGCAGCCGTGTGCCAAAGGTTGCCGATCCCTGTCCTACAGAGTAGGAGCTAGTCCTAAAACTATTATACTGATATTCCATTATCTGCTGTGACCTATGAGACTGGACTTCACATGTCTGTGAAAGTTCCTCCATTTTGTTGTTGCTGTTTTGACCCACTGGCAGCAGGAATGGATGGCTTTCAGTGACTTATGGGAGAAGACTTCAGATAGATGTGTCCTTCTTTGTTTTCTGGACTTTCGTTTCATGTGAGTGACTAACATTGGGCAAAGTACTCTGAAGAGGTTATACTGTTGGATTATGATGTCATAATCTGTTTATCAATTCATTTAAATGCACTCAGAATTCTATTTGCATTTTCTGCTGCTGCTTGTTAAGTTAGGATGGACAAAATGATGATTACGATCCACATGATTTCTGGCATATAATAATTTTTTCCTCTTGATTTTTATAGAAATTATTGGAAGGTGTGGCAAGCAAAATGAAGACCCCTAAAAAAATTCATTGGGTTGAAAAAGCAAACCATGGCATGACAGTGAAAGGACGAACAGCAGATGATATTATGATGGAAATAAGCACACAGGTTTTTTCATGGATCAAAGAAATAATTGAACAGGAGTACAAATAATTTCCAACAGTTAAACATCAGTTACATTAACCTTCCTTAAATGTAAAGGGCTTGTTTGACTTGCCAAAGAGAGCATTAGAAAAGAGCCATTCCTACATGAGGCCTACATGATTCAGAACAGGTCATTCTGCAAATATTAAGTGTAAACATACATAAATATTTTTGAATCCAAAACCGCTATGCAATGTGAACAAGGTAGTAATACCATTTTTTAAAGGTGAAGATCACAAAACATGTAAAATATTAACGATGGGGCACTACTTTTCTATATTTCAGTTTTAGTGGTGTATCCATTTGTTGGTCTGTGTGACCAAACAATACCTTTTTATTTTTTTTGGTACTGTTTAGTTAGTGTGTTTTCAAAGATTACTGCAAAATAAACTACATTTTCTACTGGAGCTGAAATTTTTAGTCTGATTTATTCCCAGCTGTATTGCAGACACTGTGGTTAATTTGCAAAGGCACTGTCATATTCAATCCCCCTTTCACTCACAACTTTTTGGGGAAAAATATCCATTTTGGGCCATAACTTTAAAGGTCAGTTTCTGCCCTGCCTTGCACCTTGTGTAGACCTTTACTCCTTTGGAAAGTGACTCTTCTGGTGCCATTCTGATTTGGTAGCATTTTGCACCCTCTTTGCACAGCCATAATTACACAAGGTGGAAAGCAGTAGAGAATCAGGTAATGTGTATATTTAGTTTCTGTGGGAAAGTGATTTTAAGCCCCCGCCCCCTGAAAGGTCTGATTGGTCACTTTGGGATTATTTGGTCAGGGAAAAAACGTTTTTCTGCTTTAAAAGAGTTGTCAACAATTTTTGTGTGAAAATAGCTCAAACAGCTGAAATTCACTTCAAACATGACATTTATTTAGTCCTAATTACTTAGGACTAATTATTTTACAGCATAAAGCCTGGGGGAGACAGAGGAGAAATAGCAAAGCTGTTGGATATCAAAAGTTTGTTCTAGTGTGTACATTATGTTTATAGAGGCATACAAAAATGTTTGGTTTGATGGATTTGCGAAGGGTGCAGTTAGTTTTTATTTTATGTATTTACTCTAGTAAATTCATAGTGCAGTTTAAAAAAATGTGTTTTTCTTAGTTTCAGCTGAACCAGTTCCCCTTTTTCTGGTGCATGTATGCGCCATAGTAACTGCAGGATTTAGAATTAGAGTGTGATGTTGGACACTGCAGGCCCAGTTCATCCCTTGTGGAACTCCGCTGACTTCTATATTTTGCCTGGGGCTTTGGGATGGCTTTATACTGGGGAAAATATCTATAATAGGGCTTTTGCTAGTATACAAATAATCATAAAAAATCACACCCTGAACTGATATTACTATATTGGCAAGTTTCCAAAGTAGACGTGTCCTTAGATTATTGTGCTTAAATAGATGCAGCAAACTCATTTACAATGACAGCAGACAGACAGCTCAGTCCCTGACATACTCCTGGGGGAATTCTGCACCTCTCTTCATGCGCAGAGTTTTTGTCTTCAGCCAGTTTCTTTACTTCCCCAGAGAAAAATTACTTTGATGGGGAAGCAAAGGGAAGCCACAGGAAGTATGTTTTGGCCAAGAGGTAAATCACTGTGCGGCAGGGGCCGGGACTGGGGAAGACCCGGCTATTGGCTCCTATTCTGCGTCAGGTTCAGCTTCTAATCCCAGCTGGGCTGGGGACGACATGACTTCATCTTCCCCAGCACGGCATGTGGGGCTGGGTCAGACCCTCCCCCAGATTTCTCCCCGGCTGCAGGAAGCTCTGCAAGCACTTCCTCCTCACCTCTTTCCTTCTTCCCCTCCCCCCCACTTCCTGCCCCCATTGCTCCGCAGCTGCATGGGAAGGGATCACTGTACAGGGAGCTGATTTCCCCCATCTGCCCAACCCCCATGCATCCAGACCCCCTCATTCCCAGATCCTCCTGCTGAGCACCACTGCCTACGGCCCAATGAGCCCCACTCTCCCTGTACCTGACCACCCACACCCAGAAGCCCAGCCACTGAGCCCCGACCAGCTACACCTGGATCTGCACCCCACTAAGCCCCCTCACACTCAGACCCCCCCACTGAGTTCTATCCCCTCACAACCAAACCTGCCCTTGCTGAGCCCCAACCACCTTCTCCAGGACCCCCCTGCAGTGTCCCATTACCATTGCATCCAGAACCTCCTAACAAGCCCCAGTGCATCCGGATTCCCTCCTCACACACACCCAGATTCCCCCATGGAGACACCTGCACCCGGATTGCCTCACACAGAACTCTCTTAACACACACCTGGATCTCCCCACCCCAAACCCCTACACTGCGATCCTGCCATGCTGAGCATGCCTACCCACATCTGGTGCACCTGGTAGGGAGGAGTAGGGCCCTGGGGCAGGCCCAGTCCTTGTGCTGTTTCAGGGCTGGGTGCAGCCTCACCACTTGGTGCAGCCAGTCACATTTATTTGACAAAAATTGCAGAATTTTAAAATGTGCACAGAATTTTTAACTTTTTTTGGCTTAGAATGCCCTCAGGAATACTGGCAAAATGAGTATCATGAGTATATAATGAAATAGTTCCTTTTCACAGCCACTTACGATGTCCAGACTTGAAAGCAGCAAAACCAGTTAGCCTGATATTTCTCATTTTTGTCCATGTTTCTGCAGAAGTGTAATACCCAGTAAGGCTTAAGTGTTGTTGGGACAACAGGAACACAACACAACTTGTTTGTTATCCATATGAAAGACTTGTTTTTGAACAGCTGCGATAGTGAAGGGGAAACTTGAAAGAGAACAATGATTTAAAAATACTTATGATGTTAAGCCAGCTAATCGACTTGCTTGATGAGAGTTGGCACTATTAAATTACATTGCAGCCAACGCTGTATTATTAGTGCTGGATTTGAGAGGCCACTACTACCAAAATATTTGTGAAATCATTTTTTCACTTCATGATAATCCATTGGAAGGCTGAAAATTTAAATGTTTGCATGCAGATATTGTTTTCTCCAGTTTCTTATTGTAGGATTGCTCATGAGTACTGGCAAAAAGAAAAGGAGTACTTGTGGCACCTTAGAGACTAACCAATTTATTTGAGCATGAGCTTTCGTGAGCTACAGCTCACTTCACTTCACTGTAGCTCACGAAAGCTCATGCTCAAATAAATTGGTTAGTCTCTAAGGTGCCACAAGTACTCCTTTTCTTTTTGCGAATACAGACTAACACGGCTGTTCCTCTGAAACCTGTCATGAGTACTGGGCTACTGGCATTCATTTTATTCAGCAGAAAATACAGCATTGGAAGCACTTTAAACAGGCCTAGTTGACTTGACTTTAGAGTCCATTCCTAGCCATACAGACTCTGAATTCATTAGCTATAATATGAAGACAATAAGACAAACCTCATTTTGGTTGGGAAACATTCTATTTTTAGAGTTTGGAGAATTTAAACCTAATTTAGTATCATAATTGGGTCTGATCCTGCTGTCCCTTCACATACAGTGCTTCCACTGATATCAGTGTGCAAATTAGTGACTGGTTTAAACAAGTCCATTAGTTTCAGGAGATACAGGTAATTTCTTAAAACGATGGACCCTATTCATGAAAAATGATCAGATTTATTTGACTTTAGTAGCAACTGCTACATTGCCTGATACGGTAACTCCTCACTTAACATCTACCGGTTAATGTCATTTCGTTGTTACATCACTGACATAGGCACCCACTCTGTGGGTGCTCTGGGGCTGGAGCACCCACGGATAAAAATTAGTGGGTGCTGTACACCCTCTGGCAGCCAAGCTCCCCGTCCCACCTCCTCCTCCCCTGAGCGCGCTGCATCCCTGCTCCTCTGCTACCTCCCAGTGTTTGCTGTCAAACAGCCGTTTGACGGTGTTAGCATGCTCCGGTAGGGAGGGGGAGCAGCGGGAATACGGCATGCTCAGGGGAGGAGGTGGGGAAGAGGCGGGGCGGGGGGGATTTGGGGAAGGAGTTGGAATAGGGGCAGGGACGGGGTGGAGTTGGGGCAGGGACTTTGGGGCAGGGATTGGAATGGGGGCAGGGCAGGTGTTGGGCCTCTTGGAAGGGGTGGAGTGGTGGCAGGGCTGGGGGCAGAAGGGGAGTCCAGCACCCAGGGGAAAGCAGGGAAGTCGGCACCCATGATCACTGATCAATTAGGGAACATGCTCATTTAAAGTTGTGCAATGCTCCCTTATAAGGTTGTTTGGCAGCCGCATCCTTTGTCCACAGCTTGCAGAAAGAGCAGCACATTGGAGCTAGCTGGTGGAGGCTTGGAACCAGGGTGGACCGGCAGCCCCCCATCAGCTTCCCTAAGTTCTCTGTGCAGCAGCTGCCCAGCAGACTATCAATTGCTGGGCAGTTCAGGTGTCCCTCTTCCCACTGCCATGTGCTGCTCCTGCCCTCTGCCTTGGAGCTGCTTCTGGGAGCCTCCTGCTTGCTGTACAGGGGGTGGGGGGGGAAGAGGGGTGCTGATGTCAGGGTGTCCCCCTCCTCTGCTCCTGTCCCCCGCTCGTGTACCCCATCTCCACAGAGCGGGGTGTGGGGGCACAGGACAGGGCTCAGGACTGACGGAGCTTGCTGGAAGCAGTTGTTGTCTCAACTTGATGATCTACTTAAAAAGGCAGTGTACTTAGAGTTGGGTCAGTATAAAGGGGAAATGCACGCCTCTCTCTCTCTCTCACACACACACACACACACACACTGTGTGTGTCTGTCTCACAAACACATGAACCCCCTCTGGCACTTTGGAAAGTGGAGTGTGCACTTCAGTGGGATAGCATGGGTTCATCGTCACGTTCAGTTTCCGCAGGGAATGTTTGCAGCCACTGACATGCGTCTATTGTGTCTCCTCCCTCCATTGGTGCTGCCTTGTAGACTGTGAGGTTACATTAACAACAATGTGTTAACTCTTGAGGGCTCAGCCGAGTGCTAGTTCATCATTTAGCAGCAAGGCATTCCCTGGGAAATATTCCACCCTGTGACTCCCCACCTCAACCAAGCTACACAATCATCATTGGTGTGTACAGTATTAAATTGTTTTTTAAAAACTTATACTGTGTATATGTATATAAATAATATATATATATATATAGAGAGAGAGAGATTAGAGAGAGTCTTTTGTCTGTAGACAGGATATCATTCTCTTTTTAGCGTATAGGCTCTGTGCAAAGAGGAATGAAGGTGTGACTAAGCAGTCCCGAAAGAGGAACCCTTGGAGCAGTCATGCTCAGGAGGTTTGAACTGAATTTTGTTACTTTAAGGTCTTTTTTTGTTGTTTAAATCCAAACTCCAGGAAAAGTTTGTTTAGACTTAACATACTGTGTGGATTGAGTCCCTAAAGCAGTTTGTGGAAGGTGCCTGCTCACCATCCCTTTGCAGAATCAGGTCTTAGAACACTAACAACATCGC